CTCTCCTCTCCTCTCCTCTCCTCTCCTCTCCTCTCCTCTCCTCTCCTTTCCTCTTTTCTTTTCTCTCTTTGTATAGCCTTGGCTGTCCTAGAAATACCTCTGTAGAACAGGTTGAACTCACAGAGATCTTGAAATCACAGAGTATTGAGATTAAAAGTATGAGCCACCACTGCCCGGCTCCAATGATTCAGTTTGAAGGTCGGTAGCTTAATTTTCTCTGTAAAAGATCCTTTCTTTAAGTCAGGTCACATTCTTCACTTTGTTTTGTTTTTAGAGTCTCATGTAGCCTAGAACTGCTTATGTAGCCAACCAAGGATGACCCTGGCCTCCTGATCTTCCTGCTTCCACCTCCCAAAGGCTGGGCTTACTGGCCTGTGCCACACACCTGACTTCAAATAACGTGACATTTGTGGCTAACATGAATTTGGGGGTGGTGGTGTTATTTAACCCATGACATTTAGTTTTCTCCTATATTTAAAAAAAAAAAAAAGTGGTCTACAGTGCAAGGCTTGAGTGGACAGGTGGCAACTGCTTTCAGGGTGTCTTGTCCCCAGGCACTGTGGTGGGCTGTTGACATTGTCCTTCTCCTACTGCCTATCCTTGCTAGGGTGAGACCCGGATACAAAGAGAGCTAAGTCTTTAAGGTGTGTCTTATGTTTGCGTGTACCTGGCATTGCTGGGTATCTCCTCTGGATCTGTGGCGCACTGCTGATAGGGCCTGTGATTCCCAGGTTTCAGGTAATGGGCAACACTGTGGAGAGATACTCTCTGGGCAGGAGGAGACAGTGCCCTTGGGAACCTCTCAGGAGTCAACACATGTTAAGGCAGAGCCAGAAGAGCTACACTGTGAGGGGGCATCACAGGAGGACAGGACTCCGGGAGCATGGGGCTGGATGTCCCCAAGTCCTGGCTGTAAGGACAAGGCCCCCTTCCTGCCTGGCGGAGGTAGGAGAAGTGATTTCTTGGAGAGGCATTCTGGGGAGGGTTGAGGGTTTTACCAGGGAGACGGAGGGGTCCCAGATTTCCATCTGCCTCCTGGCAGCTTTAGAGTGGGTGACCTGATTTTGGGTTAAATCTAGGATGAGGCTTAAGGTAGTTGGGGAGCATCCGTGCCCTGCAGGATGCCGGCTGCTCTGAGGACTCTGTCTTCCTGCAGTTCTTCCTTCATCATGGATTCCTGTACTGTCCCGAGGGGGACGGACCAGAGAGCGACAGATGGCCGCAGCACTCCTCACTGCCTGGTCCCAGGTGAGTGACTCCTGAGGGTCTCCAGCTGCCCCAGGACAGAGGCAGGACTCCTCCTGGTCATCACATGGTGCTCTCTTCTGTAGTTGGCTCAGCACGTGACTCTAGCAGGCTGCTTCCCTTCTGACATGGAGTCAGAACCTACTGCCTGGGACTTGCTGACGTGCTTCTGGGGCCACCCAAGAGCCCTTGCACGGGCCCGAGGCTCATAGTGGTCCTGGTGCAGCTGGTGGAGAAGCAGAGGCAGCAAAGAGACTGTTCTCTCATTGTGAACACGTCTCTTGAGAGATGAGCTTAGGGTAGAGGCTCTGTGAGGGCCTGGCCTTTGGCCATGTACCCTAAAATACTGCCTTGCTCCTGACCATCACCTTCCACAGAAGGCCATCCTTGGATGGTGCCTCTGACCAACCATCAAATCCAAGTGGTCACTGGTGGCTACAGCTTGAAGGCTTTTTTTTTTTTTCTTACCATGTCCACAGTAAATCCTGAATAGTCTTATTTTCATGTTGTCTCAGATGCCTGTGACCTTTGAGGATGTGGCCCTATATCTCTCCCGGGAGGAGTGGGGAAGGCTGGACCACACACAACAAAATTTCTACAGAGATGTACTACAGGGAAAGAATGGGCTGGCTTTGGGTAAGGCTCATCTGTAGTGGCTTTCTGTGGCCCCCAGAGTGTTGAGGCGGCTTCCTGTGGCCCCCGGAGTGTTGAGGCTGCCTGTCATTGCCTCCCTGCCCATACCTTGCCTGCCCTTTTCTCTCTTCTTTATCTGGACAGCACTGCTCTGCAGAACCTTCCACACGGATGAACATGTTTGCTTCTGTCCTAGGACAGTGACCACAAGCCAGGTGCCCATTGAGTTCTAGAAAGAAGACTTTAAATTTTGTTTGATCAACTTAGATTGGCATTTGAACAGCCAGTGCCGGGTGCTGTGGTCACATCTGTAAGCCCAGCAGTAGCGGGTAGAGGCAGAGGGTAGAGGACTGATGTTTACATGGGGAGTTCCAGGCCTGCAGAGCTAGGCCGTGAGACCTTGTCTCAAAAGACACTTAAAAGGAGAGGCAGCCACACAGGCTGCTGGCTGGCACTGCCCAGTGCTGGCTTGGAATGTTGTTTCTTCTTTCCCTGCATTCATAGTTCTCTTCAGCCTCCCGGCTCCAGATGTGTCTGCTCATCTGGAGACTCCCTGTCAGATGTGCCGTCAGCCACCCTCCCAGATCCTTAAGCTAGAACCATTGCAGTGGCTTCAAAGAACTCACGGAGCAGGCTTCCTCCTCCAGGGTGGGAAGGGCTGTGTCTGAGAGCAGGCTTTTGACTCTTCAGTTTCAAACTGATCCTGACAGAATTTGATGATGCCTTCAGCTCTTCATTGTCATCCATCTGTCGTCCATCTGTCCATCCATCCATCTGTCCATCCATCCATTCATTATATAACTATAGCTATTTCGAATTTGCTAGTTAAGGTGGAATCCCTGAGCCTAAGCAGTATGATGTGTGTGTGTGTGTGTGTGAAAGAGAGACAGACAGGCACAGAGAGAGACAGAGAGCACCAGAGGTCAGCCTGAGTCTTGAGTCTTTAAGTGCTGTCTGTGTTTTTTGGTGGTGAGCTGACAGTTGTGGCCACACGCTCATTTCGTGGACCAGGCTTCAGGCTGCCTCTGCTTTCCAGTGCTGGGATTCAAGTTATGCCAGCTCACTTCATTTTGTTGTTTGGTTGGTTGGCTTTTGAGATAGAGTCTTTCACTGGTCAGGAGCTCACCAAGTTGTCTGGGCTTGATAGCCATTGAGCTCCAGGTATCCACATACCCGTCGATAGGACTACAAACATTGTCACTGTGTCTGGCTTTCAGTGTTGCTAAGGATGGAACTTAGGTTTTCACACGTGCTTTGCTGGCGGGCACTTGACTGACTGAACTCTCTTTCCTGCCCTGCACAGTTTGGCAGTTCTGTCAGTGACTGGAGTGGCGATCCTGAGACCCATACTGGGCACATGAGCCTCCCACTCAGGACCCCACCCAGTCCTGTCATTACACCAGCCATTGTTAGCATTTGCCAGGGCTTAGACCAAGACCAAGAGGTCCAAGCAAATCCTGGAGATTAGAGGGATTTATCAGGAGACACATCCCTTCCTCTCCTCGGAACAGTTCTTGCTGTTGTTGTTGTTTTTGGTTTTTGAGACAGGGTTTCTCTGTGTAGCCCTGGCTGTCCTGGAACTCACTCTGTAGACCAGGCTGGCCTCGAACTCAGAAATCGCCTGCCTCTGCCTCCCAAGTGCTGGGATTAAAGGCGTGCGCCACCACCGCCCAGCCAAGCCTGGAATTTTTAAAAATTTGCCTACTAATGTATTGAGATAGTCTCATTGTGTGGTCCAGGCAGGGCTTGAGCTCAGCACCCTCCCTCAGCCTCCCAGGGGCTGGCTTGTTTTGCCTTAGGTTTCTAGGACCAAGGGCTTTCCCCCTTTGCCTTACAGAGTTGAGTCAAGGTAGAGGAGGGCCATGATGAGTGGAGTCGGGTTGGGGGATGATCCTACTGGGGGGCAGTCCCAGAAGCTCAGCATCTCTTTCCGGACAGGGTTTCCCTTCAGCAGACCTTTCTGGGTCCCCCAAGTTCAGGGGAAGAGCCAGGCGGCAAGCTCTAGCCGGATCACAGGAGCTGAGGAGAGGAGAGGCCTTGGTTCAGGTGAGGGCCTTAGCCAATGCTAAGGTTTGGGGATCCCCTTGTGGATATGCATGCAAGGGTCTCCAGACCCCTCTACTGCTAGAGGGTGGCTGCTGCCGTGCGGGGTCCCCTAGTTTCCCCTCACCTGTGGGCTCTGCAGAAGTTTATCTTCATCTAGCAGCCTGTCTTTTTACAGGAGCTGTGGAAATGGGGAAGGTGGTACCAACCTTGGCCATCACAACCCTAGAGGACACAAAATCCATAAGGACTAGGGCCAGGTGGGTCCCGGGGGAAGACTCGCAGCAAGTGGCTAGTGGTCTGGGTACAAAGCTGGCCAGAGACATCGGGGAAGCTAGTCAGCTAAAGCCAGCCCCATCCGAAGCACGTCCTCTCAAGACCCCAGAGGACAGCGCCCCAGAGAAGCCCAGTGAGGAGGAGGAGGCCCTGAAAAGTGGCGAAGAGGGTCTGGTACCTGACGGTGACTCGGGCAAGAAGACATACAAGTGCGAACAGTGCGGCAAGGGCTTCAGTTGGCACTCGCACCTGGTGACTCACCGGCGAACGCACACGGGCGAGAAGCCGTATACCTGCACGGACTGCGGCAAGCGCTTCGGCCGCAGCTCACACCTCATCCAGCACCAGATCATCCACACGGGCGAGAAGCCCTATACCTGCCCCTCGTGCTGGAAGAGCTTCAGCCACCACTCCACGCTGATCCAGCACCAGCGCATCCACACCGGCGAGAAGCCCTACGTGTGCGACCGTTGTGCCAAGCGTTTCACCCGTCGCTCGGACCTAGTCACGCACCAGGGAACGCACACCGGCGCCAAGCCCCACAAGTGCCCTATCTGCGGCAAGTGCTTCACCCAGAGCTCCGCCCTGGTCACACACCAGCGCACCCACACCGGTGTCAAGCCCTACCCGTGCCCGGAGTGCGGCAAGTGCTTCAGCCAGCGCTCCAATCTCATCGCGCATAACCGCACACACACGGGCGAGAAGCCCTACCACTGCCTGGACTGCGGCAAGAGCTTCAGCCACAGCTCTCACCTCACTGCCCACCAACGCACCCACCGTGGCGTGCGGCCCTACTCCTGCCCACTCTGCAGCAAGAGCTTCAGCCGCCGCTCCAACCTGCACCGGCACGAGAAGATCCACACCACTGGACCCAAGGCTCTGGCCATGCTCATGCTGGGGGCAGCGGCGGGGGCGCTCACAGCACCCCCACCTGCTCCCACTTAAAAGCCTGAGAGAGAGAGCTTTGAGAACACCTAGGGAAGCTGATACTAGGGCCCTGGGACGATGCTGGGTCCTAGCCATTGGGATGGTGGACAGGGGTGAGGGCAGGGAACTGCAAGGTGCTACTTCTGGCACCAGGTGGGCATTGTAACGTGGGAGGAGCCAGGGCTAGAAGGGCGGACACACTCGCTGCAGATTAAAGGCTTGGATTTCAAGCGGTGCCCTGCCGCTCTGTCTGCCTGTTGCTTGAGCTGATCTCTGAGCATCGGGTAGCTCTTGGTTCCACCAGGGGTCCTCGTTCAGGTAACACGGAGCCACAACTGTTGGCCTGGGAAGCCTCTCTTCCCTAGCCTTGACTTGGGTCACAGTCTCAGTTGTCAGACATAGATTCCAGAACATTAGGACCTGATTTTTTAAAAAATTAATATTTGAGTCAGGTGTGGTGGCACACTCCTTTAATCCCAGCACTCGGGAGGTAGAGGCAGTCGAATTTCTGTAGTTTGAGCCCAGCCTGGTCTACAGAGTGAGTGCAGGACAGCAAGGACTGTTACACAGAGAAACCCTGTCTCGAAAAACAAAACTAATAATAATGATAATAATATTTTTGTGGTTGTTGTTGGTATCTATACGTGCATATGGACGTGTCACTGCGCACCTGTTGAGGTCAGAGGACAACTCCTAGAATTTATTCTATACCATGTAGATCCCAGATCTGTAACTCAGGTTGTCAGTAGACATCTTTACCTACTGAGTCATCTCACCCAGGTTTTGATTTTTTGAGACCCGGTTTCATGTAGCCTAGGGTAGCATGAACTAGCTATGTAACCGGTGCGCCGTGCCTGCACCTTCCAGGTACTGAGATTATAGGTGAAAACCACCCGGCTCAACTTGGGACCATACGTCTATAAACAAGAGATCCTAAGTTCAGGTTTCCCAACCTGAAGAAAGCCAGTTACTTCTGAAACTGTGAGGCAGGAGAAGGGAGTCCCTTCAGCTGGCATGTCCCAAGGGCATTTGGCACTCGCTGAGCCCTGGCCTCTTTTGTGGCTTGTAACCACCAATACCTTCAGTGCCAGGGTTTTGATGATGTCTGTCCGTCTCTGCAGGCACCTGCCCACGTGTGCACACATAATTATCACATATCTCACACATAATTAAAAATTTTTAACTCTTTTTAAAAAGATGTTTTATTTAGCTGGGTGGTGTTGGTACACGCCATTTATCCCAACACTTGGGAAATCAAAGCAAATGAATCTTTGAGTTCAAGGCCAGTCTTGTCTATAGAGTTCTAGGATAGCCAGGGTTCCACAGAAAGAAACCTTGTCTGGGGAAAAAAATGTTTTATTTAGACAGGTTGTCAAGTATCTGAAGTTGGCCTGGAACTCACTGTGGAGTCAAAGATGACCTTGAACGACTACTGGTCATCTTGGCTCTGCCTCACATATGCAAGAAGGAATTACAGATGTGCGCTACCACACCTGGCTAGATGATTATTTCTCAAGAGGCCAGAAAGACACACTGCTACCTCCAGTTGTGCAGACAACTGTCACTCAGCCAGCAAGGGAATCTCTGTGTGGTTCAGGGTGAGGGGCTGAAGGTACTCTCTCCTGTGAAATGGGCTTCTCTCCGGGGACTTTTTAATGAAGACAGGGGCTGCTTGCAACGACTTGTTAAATTCACAGGAACTTAGCATACTGCTCGCACAATGGGTGTTGTTCGGGCTGTGACTTCAGTTCCTGGGGCTGTGTGCTTGGTGTATTTGGATGTATAGTGACGGATAGGGACAGATGACACAGAGTATCTTCAGAAGAAACGGGCAGCATCGCGGGTCTCTCTAATGTTGAGATGAGAGGGACTGAAGATTTGATGGGTGATGGGGTGTCTTGAAAGGACCGGAAGCCTGAGCTGGGTCTTGATGTCCGGGTGGAGCTTCAGGGGCTCACGGTAAACCACTGCTGAACGCCTGGTTTACTAGTGTGATTCTGAGAGTAGAGCGCTGGCAAGGAGTGAGCGAACCGGTTTATTCTGAGCTCAGGGTCCGGGTGAAAGCTGTTTTTGCCAGCGGAGGTGGAGACATGGACACAGCTCTGGTCTAGACAGCTCCCCAGAATTTCTCGCTGGCAACAGGTCTGGAGTCTGATGGAACTTTTTTTCCACCAGAGGCCCTGCCCTCCGCTGTCCTCAGTCGGTCGGATGCCAGGGAGATGGAAAAACAAAACAAAACAAAACAACCCGGCCAATCACCGCCGAAATTAGTCCCAGCAACTTTCCCTTTTTCCTGCCCCCCCCCCCCCCCCCACCAAGCTGCGCAGTTGTCTAGGCAACAGTTCCGGGCTACTGTTCAGAACTGGTGCGGTTTTCCTTCTTCAGGCTAGTCCGCAGGCGAACCACTGACTCCTTCTAGTGCCTCGCCAGCTAGGGCTCTTAGGGCTATAGCCATGCTGGCCTGAAATGCGCCATGTGGAGACCAGGCTGGACTAGAATTTCTCCCTTTCACGTGCTGGGATTACAGATGTAGGGTACTAGGCCCAACTTTTATTTTTCATTTATTTTTTTGATTCAGTTACATTTAAAATTTTTCTCTTCGAACAGTTTGTGCATTTCGGTGCAGAACATGTATATTCATATTAGAGTTTGGCATATTCTTTAGTAAAAAACCAGGTGATTATAGAAATATACATTTATTTGCCAGGCAGTGGTGGTACACGCCTTTAATGCCAGAACTTGGGAAGCAGAGTCAGGCAGATCTCTGAGTTTGAGGCCAGCTTAGGCAAAAGCAAGTTCCACGACAGCCATATATATATATACCAAGTGTGATCTTTTCCTCCTCTTTATGTTTCCTTTCTTATTTCCTTCCTTCCCTCCCACCTCCCCTCGTCTTTCTTCTTGTTATGATAATGATATTTTTGGAGATAGGTTTTCTCTACATAGTCCTGACTGTCCTGGAATTCTACGTAAACCAGGCTGGCATTGAACTCTCAGAGATCAGCCTACTTCTGGCTACCAAGTATTGGGAATAAAGGCAGCATTTCCTATGGAAGCACTTCCAGAGTTAACTTTGACTGACTTCTTGCGTGTAGTTTAATCATGGATGAGTCTGCCAACATCTAGCTTTGTTTTCAATTAAGAGGTACATTATATTCTATCAAGTTCCTCCACTTACACATACACTCTTGAGAGACTGCCCTAGTCTGAAGGAAACAGCCTTAGTCAAACAGATACTGTGTACCGTGAATTTCCACATAAGGATTTGTGGTCTCTGTTTATCTTCCTGGAATTGGTCATGCTTTGTGTTACTTGCCTTTAAAAGATACTGAGAAAATACACCTGCTCCTTGACATGGTATCAACCAGTGGCCCTCCCATCTCTGTCTCTTGTGCCTTCTTTCTGCCTTTCCTACAATCATCCTCACTTCCCCCACCCCCAGTCGTGGCTCCCACGTTCACTGACCCGCAGGTGTTCACAATTTTCTTTCTTATGTGTATGAATATTTGCCTTTATGCATGTCTGCACCACGCGCATGCCTGGATGGAGGCCAGAAGAGGGCGCCAGAGCCCTGTAACTGGAGTTACAAACAGCCGTAAGCCGCTAGTGGATGCTGAAAATGGATCCTCTGGAAAAGCGGCTAGCACTCTTAATGGCCAAGCTTTTTCTGTAGCCCTGGAAGCACTTTCTCTATCTCTGTACAGACATACACAGAAATGCATTGAAATAGAAGGAAGACTGTCTACTCTTGGCAGAGTCACCTTGAAGGAAGGGAGAGCCATGCTAGCTGGTGCACTGATCAATGGATTGCTTCAAAACCAACTCATAAGTGATGCCAAGTAACATGAGCGTGTGTTCCTTAACATGGATAAATGCTACAGTGGCTGGGCATGTGGCACACACCCTCAATCCCAACACTCATGGGCTGAGGCAGCTGGATACCTGTGAATTCCAGGCCAGCCTGTTTACATAGTAAAGGTCACCCAGGAGTACACAGGAGATTCTACCTAAAAAAGAAAAAGAAAAAAATAATAATTTGAAACCTTAAACAATTGCAACAACAAACCTAAAACATCACAGCCAAAACCAAACACACTTTGGCTCAACCTTGCTGTAGTGTTTGGGTCATCATGATGTTAGCTGGAAACATCTAATGGCAGTTCCTAATTTCTTCTGATTGCACATGTGTGGCACAGAGAAGGGGTCTTTTGGTGTGTGTGTGTGTGTGGGTGTGTGTGTGTGTTCATGCCAGAGGTCAACTTCAAATGTCATTTTTTTGGGATAGAATCACTGGGACCGGAGCTTGCTATGTGTCAGCTTTATGAACTGAGCTATCTCTCCCACCCTGAGTCTCTCTGTTAATGTGACTCACATTCTTGTGAACCACCAAAGCCCCCTTGAGACCGAGACCCACTGTAATATTTTATCTCCAGTCATCTGAGTTGTGTTTACTCAAGGTGAATGTTTCCAGTGAACAGATAATTACAATCTTTTATGGCCTGGATCCTTATCTATTTAAACAGTGTTCACTGAGGTCGGTGGCCAATGGGAGGCAAAGTTATGAACCTGTGAAATGACCTGGATGCAGAAGAATCTGGGACCTTGGGAGTGAAGATGGCCAGGAGAGGCTGGCTCAAGGAGTCTCCTGCAGAATTGCTAACCACCCTGACCTGACTATGAGGTTTTGTTTTTTTTTTGTTTTTTTTTTTGTTTGTTTGTTTTTGTTTTTGTTTTTTTTTTTGGTTTTTCAAGACAGGGTTTCTCTGTGTAGCCCTGGCTGTCCTGGTCCTATAGACCAGGCTAGCCTCGAACTCTCGAACTCAGAAATCCGCCTGCCTCTGCCTCCCAAGTGCTGAGATTAAAGGTGTGAGCCACCACTTAGTTTTTTTGAGACACGTTTTCTTTGTTCTATCTTAGAGCCTGATCTGTATGTAGATCAGGCTGGCTTTGAACTCACAGAGATCCACCTGCCTCTGCCTCCCAAGTGCTGGGATTAAGGGACATGCACCACCACTACCTGGTCAAATTTGTTTTTATAATTTTTGTTTTTTGTTTTTTTGTGTGTCTCTCTGTTTCTGTCTCACTCTGTGTGGTTCAGAGGACAACTTACCAGAATTCCTTTTCTCCTCCCGTCATGTGGGTCCCAGGGATGGAACAAGGTGCTGGTTGTCTTTACCTGGTAAGCCATCTCACCGGTCCTTC